GTTCTTAAACAGAAGGAAAGTCAAGCATACACAGCGGCTCAGCTGCTCCATTTTCCAATCAAAATGTAAATACATCTTTTTATGTTATACAAATAAACAAATAACAATGTGGGAGAAAATCTAATTATGTCAGCCTCTCCGGAGAGAGGAGCATTTATAGGACCAATATCTTCTAATTAAAGTGATTGAAGATGTTGGGTGATGCACACAGTGTCGTTAACAGATTAGAAACATTCACAGCAGTACACACACGCATACACACACAAATTATTTTTATCCCTGCTCCCTCAAGTCAGCATGCTTCCCGTAAGCTCTCTACATGCTCGCCCTAAATGTGTAGATGACTGCAGCGCAGTGGGTAAAACTATAAATAGAAGATAAACAAAATCCCCCCCATGTCTGTTTGCAGCTTGACCCCATTACTGAACATATGCAGGGTTTTTTCATATAGTTGTTTTATTTACTGCATTATATATAAGCTTCTGCTGAAGGTTTAGCTGGTAGAAGAGAAGCAAATTCCAAAAAGTCACAAGTTCAAATTCCTTTGCTGCCTTCTCTCATTTGTGAGTTGGTAAAACTTTAGTCATGCGAGGCAGAGACTGGAATGAAGCCAGTCACATGAAGAGTCTTAACGTCTAGATTGCATTGTGATTCTGTTCACTGAGTCGAACAATATTTAGTGTTTAGTGCATGGTCTAAAGTATCACACTCATTCTTAGTCTGACTTTATTTGGAATTTAAAAGTGTATTTATCTAATCCCAATATCTTCATCACTCGTTCCAAACACTTTGGTGTCCCCTTAGAAGAAGGTCTGGTCATGTTTTCTTACACTGCTACCCCCAAGACCCAGACAAGCGGAAACTAGGAAATTGATTGACTGATTTTTCTTAATTGCATTTCTGCATTAAAACGTAAGTGGAAACATAATTTTGCATGGTTATTTTCTGAAATAGTCAGAAAAATTCTCTCTCTCTCCCTCTCTCTCTGTCTCTGTCTCTCTCTCTGTCTCTCTCTCTCTCTCTCTCTCTGTCTCTCTCTCTCTATATATATATATACATACACATATATACATATAAACACACATTTGAAATTCCTGATGATATGAACCAAAGCGTTCTAATTTGGACTTATTACTCAATAAGGTCAGATGGTTTTTCGAGTTGGTTTTGAAGTTGGTTCAATCGAGTAATTTGGCACACCTCAGCCTTATTCTCAGTCTCTCTTCCTTAAAAATGGCATGCCAATCTTTGGCTAACTGCATTTTAGGAATCACCTTGTTGGCACAGCGCTGTTGTTTTATGCTTGTCAAACTGTGCTATTTTTGACATTTACCTTAGATAATTCATGGGAAATCCACAGATTGTGACAGTGAACCCAGCAACTAT